TGTGTTTCTGTTAAATCACCTGCTGTATATATATATATATATACATATATATATATATATATATATATACATATATATATATATATACATATATATATATAAAATATAATACATATATATATATATATACATTATAGTATATATATATATATATATGGTATATATTATATATATATATTATATGTATATATTAATATGACTTGTGGTCATGATGTTCGAGGGTACTGTTTATCATTCTTGAATATGAGAAGTTGCCTTGTTTATCGGGTATTAAATTGTTAAGTGGTTTATATTTTCATTCATTTAGGTCCTCGTGTTGGACATTCGTCTTACGCCAGTCCTCCTGTGTTGACATGCATTACTGATTAGTCCTCGTGTTGGACATCTTTCATTTAGAGTCCTCGTGTTGGACATCCACTTTAGCTTAAGTCCTAGTGTTGGACATTTGTTTACCCGCAGTCCTCGTGTTGGACATGCATTACTGTTAGTCCTCGGTTGGGCATTCTTTTATTTGTGCCTCGTGTTAGACACGCAACTTTACTTAGTTCTCGTGTTGGAGATTCCATTTCACCAGTCTTTCTATGACATGGCATTCTGCTTTATCACTCGTGTTGGACCACTTCTTCCATTTAGTCCTCGTGCTGGACATTCATATGATATATATATAGTCTACGTGTTGGACACTTAATCGTTTTCAGACATGACACTTATTGTGGCCATGACATGATTACACTTATCGGTAGAGATGAGTTTGTATTCGTTTCCTTTATTGTGTCTCGTATTAGATCTCGGGTTTAGTATTTAGGGTTTTACAATTTGAGATACAAGGTATATACATGAGGGTTTCCTTGTTTGGATTATTTCGCTCGACGTACCTATGCTCGTGTTGTATTTTCCTAAGTACCAAAACCCATTGTTGTTAGGATAAATGATTTATATTATTGTGTATTAACTATATTTTCTTATGCAACGAGCCCTATCCCTTGGGGTTGGTTGTGATGTTGCTCGCTAGCGCTTTGACGCTCGTTGTCCCTCCCCCTTTCAGGTAACGAGCCAGGAGCCCGGAGAGTCGCAGGTTGAGGACGACCCTTACTAGTGTCTACTATCCTCTTTTTAGATGTATTTATTTTTGTACTCCACTTGAGACATTTTAGACTTGAGAGGTTTATGTTCTAGAGTTATAAAGGCTGTTTGCCTTATTTCTTGTATTAAACATTATGTACTTTGAGACATGTTGAGCTCTCCAGATCTTTATTATTCATTTCAGACTTTGACCGTGTACTTCAGCTTATTTTTTATTTGTACTTCAGCTTATTTTTGATTGATGAGAGGTGTTTATTTGAGTCCTATCACTCCATTAAGCAATTGTTGTATAATCTTTTACTTGCTTTGTACTACACCTGTTTTTGATTCCACTATAGAGATAGTAATTGTGATGGTGAAACACGTTATTGCACGGTGTGGTGCATGGCAGGTTTGACATCTCTGGTTTCACCTCGGACTGCAGCCTTGTGTGAACCCAGGGGCGTCACAGAAGGAAACAATAATGATATTTCAGTTGAGAGAGATTATTGAGTTGATGATCAAACCCACAAAAAAAATATTTTTTATTTTTATTCTATTTTTATTAATTTGAAAATTATGATATTTAACCACATGCATTGCACGTGAATATCAACTAGTCATACTCCCTTTAAAAGCACGAGTTCAGGAAAATCTTTGTATGATCAATATTGCCCTTCACTATTTTAAATATTTCATTTATATCTTAATCTATCCTAATAATAATTATATCCTATCCTAATCTTATGTGAACTATTTAAAGCTTAACAATTTTAAAAAATAATATTAATAAAATATATAAAACATCTTCATGGTATTAGTTTGTTAAGATAAAGAAAAAAAAATAATATTAATAAAATATATAAAACATCTTCATGGTATTAGTTTGTTAAGATAAAGAAATTATACGTAGCTAACGTACTATAATACATAAAGTATATTAGTTTGTTAAGATAAAGAAATTATACGTAGCTAACGTACTATAATACATAAAGTATTGTAAAAAAAATTAAAAGTTTTAAAATTGCAAAAAATACACTGAAAAGTTTAAAATTATAAAAACTATCCCGATGTCTAAAAACTTAAAACAACTAACATGAAGTCAAGAAATTAACAGCAGTTTGCGAATGGTTTAAAATTTGCGGTTAACATCTCAATATCTTAAAAATTATAGAAACACTCTCAAAATTTCAAATTACAAACAAGTATCTGAAATTCTAAAATTTCAAAACTTGCAAACAACATAGATGAATTCAAGAGATTATCATAACGCACCTGAAAATTTTTGATATTTCAAAACTTAAAACAATAAATATGAAATCAAGAAAGTAATAGTAGCCTCCCATGAATTAAAAATTTTCAATTAACACCCTCAATGTCCCAAAAATTATAGAAACACACTCAAAAGTTTAAAAACAACCCCAAAATTTTAAAAATTACAAATAACAAAAGATGAATTAAAGATTTTACCCTCACGCACCTAAAAATTTAAAATTTGCCAAAATTAACCTTAAAGTTACAAAAGTTATAGAAAAAACTCTTTCAAAATTTAAAAATCATAAAAAACTCTAAATTTTTAAAATTTATAACCAGTACATATCAAATCTGAAAACCATTGGTAGACCGCTGAAATTTGAATTTTTTAAAATTAATCTATAGTTTTAACAATTGTAAAAAGCAGTCCTAAAATTTCAGAGTTGTAAGAAATATCGTGATATTTAAAAATTACCACCGACACATATAACATAGAAGTTATAACTAACAAACTTAAAAGTAATTTTTTAAAAATACTCCTAAAGTTTTAACAATTATAAATCACACCCTCAAAGTTTAAAACCATAAAAAATGCTAAAATTTTAAAATTTGGCAAAGAAAGTGTAGTTGTTAGGTATTCTTTCATTAAGATATATATATATATATATATTATATATATATATATATATATTCTAATTTAGGGTTTACTATCCCTTTTCAGCATCTAAAGGTAGTCTAAATTAATACTGGTAAACAAAAGCAATAAGAACTGATTAAAAATATGTGATTAGGGAATAAAAATTAAAAAAATATTATAGCTTAAAGATTATTGTCACCATATAAATTAAAGCAACCGCATAAAATTTTACTAATAAGTTGGAGCAGTAAAACACATTAGTAACATTAATTGATAGATGTTTAAATCCATAAAAATAATAAAAGACTATAATATAATAGCTTAACATTAATTGATTATAATTTACAAACATTAATCTGTGATGTTAATAATATTTATAGAGTAAAAGAATACAATAAATTACTTATGGAGATACTATCAGAATATTCAGAGATATCTTTCAAAAGAATCAAGTTATTTCCCTTTGCAAATGGAAAAGTGAAGAAAATAAATCTAAAATTTAGAAAATGTTCATGAATCATTTGAATTGACATTAACATAAGGCATGTCTATTAAAGAAGCACCAACAGAATTACATTGAAGAATAATTTAATAACTTTATCTCAATCAAAGAAGAATTCTCTATAGAAAATATAAGAAAAATTAGTAAGCATTGATAAATTTCATACATTGCTCTTCAAATACTAAAGAAATTAAATATTAATATTATAATTTAAGGCAAATTAGCAATAATAATGTAGGTATTTAGTTTAGATCTTTGTAAAAAATGATAGGGATAGAAAAAATGTAATATTATTGACGTAACAGAAACTCTTATTAGATGCACATCGGAAGAATTCATTATAGAGAAAAAAAGAAGTAACTCATAATCTTATTTAATTAATATATTAAAAACACAAAGAATTTCATATATATGATATTAATATTTATTCTCATTGAAATAATAAAAAAAATCAAAGTTTGTATTTTAAGAAGTTTGTGTTGAACATCGGAAATACATTTACCTTCTTTGTGAAGTTAAACGACAAGATAAAAGATTAATGAGGCCAGGAAGATAACAGCTCAAAAATACAACTCTAGGCCGCGATGTCACAATCGAGTAAATGATGAAGACACTACTCTAGAATTACCCGGGAAAATGATAAAGGTGAGAAATGATTGATTTTGCTCAATTAAAAAATAAAACAGAAAGAATAAATGATAATATTTTCTAAATATTTTATAAAATAGTTTAATTATTTTGAGTGAATTTAGGAATCTTTAGAAAGAGTTTCATGGGTTTTTTCAGTACTTTTATATGCTTATACAGATGCTTTTATCATATGAAAATATACTAGAGTTAGCATTAATTTTTAATTTATAATTTCTTATGAAGTCTATCAATTATTAGGAACAAACTTCATATTCTCTTTTGTATCGTTTTAATATACTTTTAACCAATCATTTTGTCTTATTGGTATTAAATATTCACATTCTTTGTATAATATTATTTTAATATTTTTTTACTTTTTCAACATTGTATTTTCTCAAGTAAAGCTTAGTATCATGCTAGTCAAAATAATATGAACATTTAAATTAGCTTCAAATTATACTTATTTTCTATCAATTCAAATATTAACATGAAAATTTAAATTTGGTGTAGCCCATTTAAACAAATATCAAAGAAAATAAATAATCACAATATTAAAGTTTAGAGACAAAAATGAGCATAAACTATTAAAGTGGAATTGGGGAATAAATTTTAGTTAGAAAGTAATCTAAAAATACTTAATCATGATATTTAACCATGTGTATTGCACGTGTATAAAACCTAGTGAGAACAAAATACACGGGATTACTAGTCACCTGTATTTTAAAGTGAATTTTTACAAAGTCGACATCTTTTTCAAAAGAAATGTCGATTTTGCTCATAGTTTATAAAACAATTGATTTTGCTAATTTTTTTTACAAAGGTCTTTTTTATAAAATTGTTCGAAAATCATATGGTAATTTGACACGTCATCACCAATTTAGTTCCCGATCCCTGAAAACAGATTCCATCACTCAAAATCTTCAGAATTTCTATCAAAACAAGTAGGGTTTTTTATTTTCTACAGAGAAGAGAGGGGAGTTCGTCCTAAATAAGAAAAGAGGAAGAAGGAGGGAAACTGAGATGATTTCTCCATCGAATTGGGTCCGCTACGCTTTCAACAAGTTAAATTACTCCGCCTCTCTCGACTTCAGGGTACAAAATTTCGTCTTTTTATTTCAACCTTCTTCATTTTATGGGTGATTGAAGTTTGATTGGTTGCAATTGATTTATTTTCTAATTATTTTCATGAGTTTGCTTCAAATTTTTTTTCGTCTGTGATGTTTCTTATGCATTTGTTGTTCTCAAGGTTATAGATAAATATTAGCTAAATATCAGAAGACCCCCTTAACTTTGGACGATGTTCAGATAACTCCCATAACTATCAAAATATCAGAAAACCCCCTTAAGTAAACTTAGAGCATATCCAAGGGATCCCTTGTATGTCCCTTATTTTAGGGGGACCTTTAAGGGAGGGGTTGGTTCTCCTCTAATGGTTCCCCCTTAAAAGTCCCTTATCCCTTAATTAATTATGTTTAGTTTTTTAATTTTATAGATTAGGATTTAATTAAATATGTGGTTTATTTATAAATGAATAAATAATTAATTATTAATAACTAAAAATAATTAATTAATTAATTTAAATTAAGAAATTACCTTATATAATCATTAAATTAATTAATGATATTAAAATTTAACAAATAATTAATTTATATAAATTGTGTTAAAAGTTCAATAATATTTTAAATTTAAATTCATATTATTTTTATATTAATAAAAACTTATAATAAAAATTATAAGGGGTACATTTTAAAAAATTTTAATCAAATTAAATTAACTATACATTAACTTAATTATATTATTTTAAATTATCTATAGCTTAACTAAATTTAATTAACTATAAATTAACTTTAAAACAAAATATATTAATATAAAATGATAAGGGGAAGGTTAAGGGACTTTAACCTTCCCCTTAATTTAGGGATGAAGTTAAGGGACTTGGGGGTGAAGGGGAAAAAATCCGGTCCCTTGGAGCCAATCCCCCTTAAATGTCCCCTAATTTAGCTAAGGGGGCCGGAAAAATCCGGCCCCTTGGAGATGCTCTTAAGGGTTTTCAAGAAAACCCCTGAAGTTTTAATATTTTATCAGGAAACGTCCCCCTCAACATCGTTCACAATTTTCATACAGGTGGGTAAAATTACGTAGGAGAGAATTTGCTCGTGAAAATTGGGGTTCACCCTTTTAGGGGATTTCCTGATAAATCTTAAAGTTAAAAGGGGTTTTCAGATAACCCTTAAATGTAAGGGGAGATTTCTGATATTTCGAAATTCATGGGGGGTTATCCGACAATCATTAAAAGTTAAGGGCTTTTTCTGATATTTAGCCATAAATATTTGTGTAAAAAAGTAAAATAATCTTTTTTTATGAGACCAAGATGAAAATAAAAAACCCGGTTGTTTGGTTTTGCAACTAAGGGCAAAGGCTAAATATATGCGAGATTGAGAGTGGTTAGCAATGTGAAGGTGAAGTCACGTGGGTTGAGAGGCCAGCGGACAATTCACATGAACCGAAAGCAAACCCACAAGATCCAGCGGTTTTGAGGACCACAAGATCCAGCTTTGAGGACCACAAGATCCAACGGGTTTGAGAAGTTTTGTTCAGCGGGCTAAGAGGCCCACCCGGTAGAAGCTTATAAATACATGTTGGTTCTTCCTAGGGTTCGGTGTGCAAAGGAGTTGGGTGCAAGGTGGATATCTTTTTCGGCTGGGGTTAGTGCAAGTCAGGAGGAGAAAACACAGAGCAAAGAGGCGGCTGTGTGCAGAGGCTGGAAAAATGCTGCGATCAAAAGTAGAGGGAAAAACAGCGTGCAGGGGAAAGAACAGCAGAGATTCTTTTGGAGTTTTGTGCAGTCGTTTTTAGAGTTTGATCATCCCCTTTTGAGAGAGATTTTGTGTGAGGGATTTGAGAGTTTGTGTGAGGGTTTAGATTGTGAGATTGTAAACCCTAGTTGTATTCTCTCCCTCTAATAGTAGATCTCCCCCCTCCTTATCCTGTGGACGTAGGTAATTTATCGAACCACGTAAAACTTGTGTGATTTGTGTTTGTGGTTATTGTAATAGTTTTTAGGATCTCTCGACAAGTCAGTCCTAGAACTGATGAGAGGAAGAGCCGATATCTCACTTTGTTGAGATATTCGCTTCAGATTCTTGTTTTCTTGGTGAGACGAAAATTCTTATTGAGATCTTCCTCTCTTATTGTGCATCAGAAACTCTGTCGAAATTTTCGCTACGCACAACAAGCAAGATGGTATAGGTAGAGTTATAAAGGGAAATATGTATGAAAAAAGAATATTAAAACATAAATATTAGAATAAGGTATCAAATGGATAATAAATATTAAATAGGTATCTATACATGTTTTACACCATGCCAGGTTATGGATAATGTGACTCTGCATGAAGTTTCTTACCTGAGAGAACAAATAGTGTAGTGAAACTTATGGGCAAATGATATTATTAACTCAACAAGGAAAGGTAAACCGATAGACAGAAATTGAGCGTCACATAAGGCCTTGAAAACTGAGCAAACATGGAACTCAGTATTGTTTGCTATGTTATTAAAGCTTTGGTATCTGCTCTAACGGTGATTGGTTATAACTTTGCTGTTTTAAGTTGGTATTCGTTTGAAAAATCATGCAAAACGATACCTACTCCTTTATGCTACCGTTTTGCTTGGGTATTTCGTTATATTTGTAACTTCTCTTTTAATTTTTGTAGTGAACTTTTTTTTAATGTACAACGGAATATTGCACTCATCATTTATTTGTATTTGTGATGCAGAAGTACAAAGTTGGCCAAATTAATGCAGATGAATGGATTGATGCAACTTTGAAAAATTTCTTCCAAGTGAAGCTAACTTTCTTGCATTGGATCAAAGGAGGGGAAGAAATGGCACCAATAATAACAAGTGAAGGGGGAAGTCTTCTTGTTAGGAAAATGGCTGCCCTACCTCCAACGTATCGAATCTACCTCTCTTTCTATTTTTCTAAGATCTTTTTGTGTAACCTGATCATGGAAGCACAATATTGATAATGCACTCTGCACTTTGCATGTCATTTTCAAAACAAAGTAATTATTGTGAACGTGGGGCCACCACGTTCCCCGTGAAGAGATAGCGGCTACAAAGCAAAACCGCGTCAAAGAATTTGTGTGGCGGCCACGAGCGGAGTGCAGCAAATCAAAAGCACGTGGTTGGATAGCGCGTGGGGACCACGTTCTCAAGCGTGAAGAGATAGTGGCCCACCTGAATCCACATTGGTTTCGGCAGCTATATATTTCTCTCTCTGAGGTTCTAGGGCTTGGGTTCATGGAGCGGCGACGTGCAAAGTTTCGTGCAAGAGCAGAGGGAAAATCTTAGGCGGCTTGCAAAGGGAAATTGCAGAGGAGAAATTACTTACGGCTATGTGCAGGCGTACCACAGAGAGAAAAAGTCTTTTGACGGGTGACTTTTGAGGAGAAAATCAGCGAGTTATTTGAGGGTTTAATTTGTGAGAGCTGTGTGATTGTAAACCCTATTTATATTGTTTTTCTCTCTAACAGTAGATCTCCCCCCTCCTTGCCCCATGAACGTAGGTAAATTGCCGAACCACGTTAAAATTGATTGTTTGTACTGTGATTTGTAATAGTTTACCGAACCTCTATTTTTCAGTTTGTTCTGCATTGGTTGTTGGTGTGTTGAGAAATATGGCCGGGGAAGAAGGTGTTGAGGGTGATGCTTTTGGTATGAAGACCATTCAAAGTTTGGATATCCACTCTACGAAGATAGATGTGAAGAAGTTTAATGGCACAAATAACTTTGGACTTTGGTGATGCGAAGTTTTGGATACGCTGAACGCGTAAAATTTAGAGGATACTTTAGAGTTGAATGCCAAGCCAGATGATATTAAAAAGAAGGTTTGGAAGAAGATGAATTGGACGACGTGTGATGTTATTAGGTCTTGTTTAACACAAGATTTGAAGTATGATGTGATGAATGAGATTTCTGTAAAGAAGATTTAGGAGACCATTGAGAGTAAGTATTTGACTAAGAGTGGAAAATCGCTTGTATTTGAAGAGGAGGTTTTATCGCTTCCAATTGAAGAAGAGAATCTCCATTAGTGATCACATGAATCACTACACAAAGCTTCTTGTGGATTTGGCGAATGTGGATGTTATGATTGAAGATGAGGACAAGGCGTTGCTGTTGTTGAGTTCCTTGTTAGATGAGGAATACGAGACCTTTGTTCTTACCTTAATTAATGAGAAGTCGTCTCTTTCGTATAGTGAGGTTACTGCTGTACTTGTGAATTATCAGCTTTGAAAGAAGGATAAGAAGACTTTAGTTGAGCTAGTAGCGGAGGCATTGATCGTAAGATGGAAGAATTCAAACCGAAAGAATTGGAAGTCACAGTCTAGAGTAAGACATCCTACAGTTAGAAAAGATCAGTGTGTTTGGTGTAAGAAGACTGGTCATTGGAAGAAAGATTGTCCAAAGCTCGACGAATGGATGAATAAACAGAAGAGAAAAAAGAAGCAACCATCATCAAAAGCAAACATCGTTATATTGAATGGTAATATTTCTGATACTTCTATTTATTCACTTTCTATCAGTCATATAGGTAGCTATTCGGAGGAATCCGAATGGATGTTGGATAGTGGTACGACCTATCATGTGTGCCATAGAAGGGAATAGTTCTCTAGTTTTGAGAAATTAGATAGTAGTGTGGGGTACATGAGAGACAATCGTGCATGCCAGATCATTGGGATAGGAAGAATTGGCATCAAGATGTTTGACGGAACTGTTAGAGAGTTATATGATGTGAGATATGTTCATTCATTGAGGAAGAACTTGATCTCAATTTGAGCTTTGGTTGGAGAGGGTCTGAAAGTTCGTGTTGAGGACATGGTTCTCGAGATTGTAGAAGACTCTTTGATTATGATAAAGGACGTCAGGAAGAATAACCTGTACTATTTGATTGGAGATACAGTGACAGGTGGAAAGCTGACGACTTCTGTTGATTCGACTAGACTGCGGTATTCGGGGCTTTGTTATTCCAGTATTGATTTAGAGATGAGTGCATCGACCTGCAATTTAAAATCCAGTGAACACTTTGGTGTGAGCAAGAAGACCGATGTGAAGTTTGACACCTCTATTCACCACATGGAGGGTCTTTCAGATGGGGTTCACATGGATGTTTGGGAGCCTTCCAAGAAGGCATCATTAGGAGGAAATAGATGTTTGGTTTTCTTTGTTGGTGATTGTTCTATGCGTGTTTGGATTACAACCAAACCCCCTTTAGATAAAGTCCTAGTAGTCTCCAACAGATTGAAAAAGTGTATGATAGACAGAAAGATGAATGTACTTCATTCTGGTTTTAGTGGGAGGTACAAGATGGATCTGTTTCTGTATTGGAGCCGAGCTCACGACATTTCGAGATACTTCGTTAGAAAGGAAATCTTGGGCAACTAGATAGGGTGGTAAATTTGGAGAATTGTGCCTTGCTGGAGGAGGATTGGTGTTTGTTGTCAAGCAATGATCTGCAGAAGAGTTTCTAGACTGAGGCTTCGACATATTTGGATCATCCTATTAAAGAGTTGTCAACTGCTGTGATTAGAGGTAAAACTCAATTGGATATTTGGTCTGGTAATGTCACATTAGATGAGGCTTCGATGAGGGAGCCTATTGACTCTCAACAGGTGGAGAGTTTTGAACAGATCATAGAGGTATCACAGCAGGTGGAAAGTGGTGTCACTTCACATTAGGTGGAGATTACTCCACATACTCCTGATCATTCTGTATTGTTTGAGATTTTAGCTGAGGTGGCACAATTTGGGGATCGATTAGTTTTGGATACAGATGATGAGTTGGGTTTTGATTCGAGTGCAGCTGATAGATATAGTTTGGATATGACCATTGGTTCACCTCAGGTGGAGGTGTTTGATTCGTTATATTTTGAGGTCATTGGAGGTGCTATCAACCGTAGAGTTGATGATATTGGAGGAGGGTTGCGAACTCTTCTATTGGATTGAGGGTCTTTGGAGGCCATTTGGATGAACTACGTGCGGCTTGATTCCTTGGACAAGGGGATACGTAGACAGTCATTTATGATGCAGCCGATTTGAGAGTTGATACCGATATTTGGAGAGTGTTCGCATTCTCGTTTGGGTATCGACTTGTTGTAGATTGAGTCTGTTGTCGTGAATCGTTTCATTTCGTACTGGACGCAACAAGTGAGATATTTGGTTTGGTTGGTGTCTGCTCAGTTTTGAAAAAACTTCACCGAGATGAAGAATTGTGAACGTGGGGCCACCACGTTCCGCGTGAAGAGATAGCGGCTGCAAAGCAAAACCACGTGAAAGAATTCGTGTGGGGGCCACGAGCGGAGAGCAACAAATCAAAAGCGCATGGTTGGATAGTGCGTGGGGGCCACGTTCTCAAGCGTGAAGAGATAGTGGCCCACTCGAATACACATTGGTTTCGGTAGCTATATATTTCTCTCTCTGAGGTTCTAGGGCTTGGGTTCAAGGAGCGGCGGCGTGCAAAGTTTCGTGCAAGAGCAGAGGGAAAATCTTGGGTGGCGTGCAAAGTTTCGTGCAAGAGCAGAGGGAAAATCTTGGGCGGCGTGCAAAGGGAAATTGCAGAGGAGAAATTTCTTGCGGCTATGTGCAGGCGTACCACAGAGAGAAAAAGTCTTTTGGCGGCTGACTTTTGAGGTGAAAAGCAACGAGTTATTTGAGGGTTTAATTTGTGAGAGCTGTGTGATTGTAAACCCTATTTGTATTGTTTTTCTCTTTAATAGTAGATCTCCCCCCTCCTTGCCATGTGGACATAGGCAACTTACTGAACCATGTTAAAATTGGTTGTTTGTGTTGTGATTCGTAATAACTTGATTAGGTTCCCTCGACAGGTCAGTCCTAGAACTGATGAGAGGAAGAGTTGATATCCCACTTTGTTGAGATATTTTGCTTTCGGTTCTTGTTTCCTTTGTGAAACAGGGATTTAGTTGAGATTTACTCTCTTGTCGAGCACCAGAGGTGCTGCCGAAATTTCCGCTGCGCACAACAATTATCTCATAATCTTCAAATTATTCTTAGATATATAATACATAACTAATCATAGAATATAAAAGATACATTCTGCATTTCCTGAATTCCTGATAATGATAATATACAGTTTCCCTCCTCTGCCTACGTTATGCAGGCTTGCCTGATACCATTCTTCAACAATCAATATTTGACTCACGTGGCATAGGTTGTAGGGTGATTGAATGACATGCTTACATTTTTTGGATCATTTTCATTTCTTATATATATACCCTTTGCAAATCAAATTACAGTTGAAGTTTTAATTTATATACACACTAACACTATGACTTATTTAATGTGCATTTGCACATGTTAACACATCTAGTTTTTTATGATAATGATCAAGGTATTATGGTGAACCCCATGGTGGCTATTTGTGTTGTTATTGTTTCACTTGCAGTAGTCTGTTGTGCTGCATGTTTGTGGGTTTAAGTTGTAGTAGTTATGATGTACGTACGTACTTGGTTTTTGTTTTTAAATTTTCCTTTATAATAATACTGATGCATATCTCTGGCATCAAACGTAAAATAACAGGCAAATTAGTAAAATCGCAAGCCGTTTCATATATATATATATATAGAGAGAGAGTTTTAAACTTCAAAATACCTATGGATTTATCAACCGTCTTTGAATGTTTCGTCCTTTCATTCAGGTGAATCTGATTAATACTTCTGTTCGATTATTTTTCTCAAAAACTTTGGGGCTAAAACAGTTCTTGTAGAGTGCATAGTATGCATTGGCTGTGCATCTACTTAAAGCTATTTATTCTTTATATAAACAGTAAATGCAGCTTCATAACCATCATGATGAACTTAATTTTTATTCGCATGTCAGTGCTAGTTATATGTTTTAATGGCATCACTGTAAATGTTGCCGCACCACTTGCCGCTATTAGTGTTGAGAAAGATCAGTTTATCATCTTTTCTCGTCGCCATGTGTTTCTCATATGTGATTCATTGTTTTCTGGCCGTAGGAAACAAGTCTTTGTTGGAGATGTTGTGATGTTAAAAGATCCTGAGAAGCCTGATGATTATCTTCTCAGAAGGTTAGCTGCCATTGAAGGCTATGAGATGGTCTCCAAAGATGAGAAAGATGAACCATTTGTTTTAGAAAAGGATCAGTGCTGGGTGTTGTCTGATAATAAAGCTTTGAAGGCAAAGGTATATCTTATTCACTAGTTATTCTATTATAGATCACCAAGATAGGTATGTAAAAATTCTCGACATTCTATTTAAGGTCATGGGATATAATTTTGGTAAATGTTACCACTGCGATTACCACCATCATATTTCTTTTGTTTGAATTGCTTGGGGAGATTAAGTTGGGATCTGAAAATTTAAGTTCTACATATGTACCCACCAAAATAATTCTTTCCGCTTGACATATTTACCTGACACTTAAGAGGGATTTTTGGAAATAAACTATTGAAGAAATGTACCCTCTCACATATAACATTTTGGTGTATACTCTCATGTACACATACTTAAGTGGATTGTAGTTCGACTCTACACACCTGCACACACATTCCTCCAAATCTTTTAGTTTCATGTATTGGTAACATACACATGCTCTTTTTTTGGTAGAAAAACACTTAAGTCGCTTGGCCTGATTTTATATTGTGATTACCTGATTTTATATCCCGTTCGTAGTACTTTCTATATCCATTGCACTGATTTCTTATTTCAGTAATGTTCATCTTATCCACTTTTCACACATTTTCTTTCTCTTATACTGATTTATATGGGATCCACTGATTTCATATTGTGCTTGTCACGACTACATATTATTAATATTCAGGCTGCAGTGACTATGTTGGCCGGCTTTTCTTGTGATCTTTTCTCTGAAAGGGAGCATCCTATGGAACTATGTCAGTATGTTGGCTAGCATCTGAAAATGAGAGTGTATTTATCATGTGAGATGGTAATCTAGCCTAGGACTTTCTTACAAACATAATTTAATTTTTTTTGATTAATCTCTCCAGTAAAAGTGTGATTTTAATGATAACCACGAGAACTTACATATTTTTCTTTGTGCATTATTGATAGTTATTAGAGAGGCTTTAGTCCCTCAATGTACAAATTTGATGCATTTATTCAGTGTTTCTTGAATGACAGGAGGCTAAGGATAGCCGTCTCTTTGGCCCTGTTCCTATGAGCAGCATTGTTGGGAGAGTTATATATGCCCTGCGATCAGCTGTTGATCACGGGCCAGTGAAAAACAGGTGTGTTTCTTCTGTACTCTTTCCTCTCTAACACACGCTATCTGATCTGCCCTCTAAATTTATTTCCATCGTTTTAGTGTATGGTTGCGTTATCTTGTTTGTGTTTTGTTGGGGGGGGGGTTGTGCTGTATGATTTTTAAATTAATTAAGTTAATTGAAGATGATTTAGTAATTTATGAAATAATTTAATCAATTTAATAAAATATCAAGAAAATTTTCTAAGTAGATCATCAAACAGTCAGAGCAGGATGCAAAATTAAGAGATGAAAACAAATTTGAGGGTAATTTAGCTAGAATTGCACATAACACCCCTCGCCCCTCACCCCCAACCAAAAAGAAGAAGAAGAAGAAGAAACACACACTTATTAGCATTTAGCCCTCCTCAATGCATGAAGAAGAGGGGTGTTGCTTGCAATATATCTTTCGAAAAATGGCATTTCAGGGTGCT